TGCGTAAAATGCTCAGGCGACTGTAAATACAGTCTTTCAATAGGTGTCAATTGTACGTTAATTTGACATTTACATGTCAGGAGGCCAAAAAGTATTTTTTTGAGTCCCTGGGGTGTGCTGGTTGTATTTGTACGGCGCGGTTGGCGCTCCTTACACTCAGCAGCTGAGCTATTATATAGTCCTACCGGATCCTGCAGTGAATCACTCTCCTGCTGCCTGCTATAATAGTCTGCACCGCTTTTGGCCCACATATGACGAGCTTCGTGCCTTGTTCTTGCAGCAGACGTGACCGATTTCCAAAGGTTAATATTTGCATCGTGCAGACGCATTTACAATAGCTAATAGCGTTTAATAAACGGTGACTTAAATTCTAAATCTTTCTGGTTTTTAGACAGATTTCGTTGTCATTTAGCGTTGCGTTTTGTCGGGAGTTATTTATAGAGTTGCAGTGACATCTCGACTTTCAAAATTCGATAATAAACAGTTGGATAAATTATATGTGAAAAAGTGTACATGAAATGGAAAAAATCTGCATGCGAGCGGGTTTCGTGTCGACTTGCACGAACTTCCAATGCAGGCGTTGTTTGACATGAAAGAATTATGAAAGCTTTTACAAAAAATCCAAAACAACAAACTGGAATTTCCTTTATGTTGAAAGTTGAACTTGTATTGTTTTTATAATTTCCTTACTTTCAAGATTTTTATATAGTAACATATTTCTTGAGAAATACGATTTCTAATTCATTCAGCTAAAGGCTTGAAAATTCTAAAACAAGTTTTAGTTTTTAAAATCGTTTTTTAATTAATTGCAAGAGTAATTTTTGCATAAAAAATAAATTACTTAACAAGCATTTAATACAGGTTTTGTTGGTTTTATATTGTAAAAACTTTACAGACATTTCATTTGTTACAATCAATGTTCAAAATATGTAGTTACATATAATTACGTTATTTTCAAATTGTTGGTTTTATATTGTAAGAACTTTACAGATATTTGATTTGTTACAATCAATGTTCAAAATAGTTACATATAATTACGTTATTTTCAAATTTAACATTTTTTTTACTAAATTCAACTTCAGACTTACATATCTTAAGACTTAAAACTTAATCACAAAATAAAGTACGCAGATTTGAACAAAGAATAAACTTTATTAAAATTATCCCGGCGCATCCACCATTTTTGCATGCTGAGATTTTTTAAAAATACATAGTTTTACATTTAATTCCAACGACGAGTATAATTAGAAAATATTTATAAAATAATAATAAAATTATGCAAGTATTAGTTGATTTGACTTAAAGTTTATTTACTATTTCGTTATTTTTTTTATATACATATTTTTTTATTTACATAATATAACACTCACAAAGTAGAAAACGTATACAAAAAAATATTTACATGTAACGGGTGTTTTTTTAAACTTGGCGTCAAAACTATCCATAAAACTTCGATTGTGAACGAACCATTGTATTGAAGGTTATTAATCTGACAATTGATATCTCGCCGGGCGTATTAAAAATTGTATCTGTTCACACTCATAGACTCATATCACCGCCAACCATGACGCTAAATTTAAATAAACACCCGTTATTATGTAATTACTTAGATTGTATGTACTTTTATTAATAAAATAAATATCTATTAAGTTTTGCGACCTTTTAACGAAAACGTAAATTCTGAAGCGTCTAAGCTTTAAAATCCGATGTCTGTAGACAGGAATATTACCTTACTCAACTCTCAAGTACTTTCCAACCACCGCATGCATAAGATATGCGCTTTTTTTATTTAACAACTCGTGTTGGCGAGAACTATTTGTCACATCCTATCCCTGTGGAATATTTAATGGTGAGATATTTCTTTTGGCGGCTAAAAAGTAGCTTCTTTGCTATTCAACTATTAACGCGTAAATCCGAACAAATCAATACTAAATCTACAATTTTTTTCGATTATTTCTACATCGATAAATACTTTTCAATTAGTTGGAGTTTAAACAAAACTTGGTGCCAAGTTTTCTAATGAATTGCGGCATCCGGAAGTTACCAAAGTTACTTTTCTTGAACACGTCGTCCATAAAATAAGTGCAAATCCCTTCATTTGTCTTTATGAGGGAACAAAAGACTTAACTAACCAGTAAAAGATTGTTGGATGCGCTGACCTCGGACGTGTCTTCCTATGAAATCCAATGGAGGCGCGATCAGTTAAGAGTGGTCATAAATTTCGTCAAGTGACTCATCGTCTTTTGCTAAATCCGGACGGCTAACTTCTTGCTGAATGGACAGGGGTCGTTCCAATCAGTGACAAAGTTTCCCCGATGATTGCTGATTTTGTTAATCTTTGACCGGCGGGAAGACAATATTTGATCGTGACAGACAATAAACACGATTTTACTTCGGAATTAAGGGAGACTCGAACCGAATTATCTTCTTCAAATAAAGCTCCCGCTTTCCCTAAAAGACTACTAAATAAACCAACTCTACCAAGGGATGTTTTTATTGTTATTATTATTCAGGACATATCTACGCCATAACTAGAACCTTGTTTGGATCTCTGGCGACCCGCCTTTGCTGAATCCGAAAATTAAGCTAATAAAATTAAACTCACAAAGACAAAGGTAAGGAAAATTGCATCGAGCCGGTTCATAATAATCGAGATACTTATTTTATCAACTAGTATTAAATTGTTTGTTGTAACTACTTACATTACAAAATAAAGTGCATTTCTATCTTATACTTAACGTTACTAGTATTTTAATCAAATAAAGCTAACACGCTACTAACCACTTACCACTAATAAAATTGTTGTATACAATCCAGAGGGTAAATTGTAACTGCCCAACTAATTTTACAAATAAACTTAATGTTTACTTACAAATTCTACATATACGGTATTTTCCTCTAGTTCAATAACTTTAAAATAAACATAACTTTGGTAGTATTCGTCCTAAATCAACAAAAAAGTAAATCAAATAACCGCTCCAATTTGTCAATTTATCTGATGATGTTGATTGGGTTTTATTTATCAAATGTTTCTCTAGAGCGATTAGGACATTTTTTACCAAAAATCATTACATTTGTTACTTGATCGTTTAAACATTTTAGTAGTGATTACTGATTAGAGTAGATTACAGATTAACAAAACGTGCTAATTTCTCATTAGTTTAATTGTAATTAAATTTTCATGCTATCAACCAAATTATTCCATTGTAATAACATTTGAGTTTAGTACTTTTAGTAACACGTTACAAAATGTTTCAAAATTTAATTTTAATAATATTTTCTGTTTTATATTTATTTACATCTGAGTCTAATAGCGAAAAAAACAATGTCTGTAGAACTATGAATGACTATATCCATATGGAAAACAATACAAATTGTTGGTATAACCCAGATGTAGGAAGCTCTGTGGTAAATATGTATTGCTATGTTTCACATAAAAAAAGGAATATATTTGTAGTCGGATATAATTACAAGACGAGGTTATCCATTAGAGAGTTACCACTTTCAAACGGAGGATGGTTACATTAACGCCATTTATAGGATTCCACATAATAATATTAACCAAAATGAGCCAAAACAACCAATAGTGTTACACCCTGGTTTAGGTGGTAGTCCGAATAGTTTTCTGTGTGTAGGAAATCGATCACTGGGTATATTATTTTTTAATACTAAAATTTACTTTTCCAACAATGATTTTAAGTATTTTTTCTTGTAAATAATGGTTATGATGTTTGGTTGCCTCATCGCCGAGGCTCAGCTTTTGGCAAAGGTCACATCAAATACAACAGAACAGACTCGAAATTCTGGGACTTCAGTTTCCACGAATGTGGCTATTACGATATCAAAGCTGAAATTGATTTTATTAAGACCAAAAATTCGCAAAAAGTGATACTACTTGGTTATTCTATGGGAACGACCGAGACTTATGTATATGCAATTTTGAGAAAAGAACATGCAAAGAAACATGTAGCTGGGATTATTTCTCTTGGTGCTACAGCTTACTTAGAACACCCTAATAGTATTTTGATGCATTTAGCCCTTGCTTCACCTTACTTGGAAGTTATTTAAGATTAGTTAGGCTTTTTCTAATAAAATTATTATAGGGCTCTTTGAAATTTCGTAATAGAAATAGTATGTTTGACAGTTGGGAAATTCAAAATGTTGAACAGAAAATAACTTACGAAAATTTGGTTGCTACTTGGAATCTTATAATGGGGTTATTTGGTGAAGATCCTCATCAGTTGGATCCAGTAAGACATTCCTATAAATTAATTTAGAAAAAATAATATATTTTAGGTTGATTTACCTGTCTATTTAGCCAGCAAACTAGCCTCTACTTCGATTAAATCTGTTATACATTTTGTTCAAAACATTATTTCTGGTGGAAATTTTCAATATTATGATTATGGGATTTTTAAAAACTTACAAGTGTACAATTCACCAACACCTCCTTTATACAATGTATCAGAAATTGACATACCAGTGTACATTTTTTACGGTGAAGCAGATAATATAAATCCCAAAGAAGTATAATTATTGTAATAACTAATTATAAAGAAGAAACTAATTATTTTTGTTTAAGGATGTTTTTAAGTTTTATAATGACCTAAAAGTTAAAAAGAAAGGTATAATTCATATTTCTGAAGATAAAAAAGTGAAATATAATCACGCAGACTTTGTTTTGGCTAAAGACACTGAAAAGTTATTTTATGCAGTTTTATTGAGAACATTACGAGAAAACTTAAATGGATGATAATCTGGTAAAAGTAAATTTTTACCTTTATTTTGTGGAAATATTTGATTTGTTCTATAAAAATATGTTTTTATGTACATATAACACTATCATTAGAATTTCCATATTTTGTAAATGAAAATTGCAATAAATTTTTAATTAAATTTTAATATAAATATTTTAAAGCTTTTATTTTTACTAAATTTTTAAAAATACAAAAAAAATCTTATCTGTAGTAATAGCATGTATTTTGTCGCTCTATGTTGTTATGATGTGAAAACATTCTACAATTTACTTTTTATTAGTAAAGATTCAGTTGTTTTTGTAGTTTCTTACTTTAACACAGAAAAGTTTCTGTGTTAAAAGAGGAAACAGAGAGTATAAAACTAACTTAGTTTACCATTTTGCACTTTTGAATATAGTTTTAAAATTATGTATACATAGTGTCTCAAAAGATTACAGATTAACAAAACGTGCTAATTTCTCATTAGTTTAATTGTAATTAAATTTTCATGCTATCAACCAAATTATTCCATTGTAATAACATTTGAGTTTAGTACTTTTAGTAACACGTTACAAAATGTTTCAAAATTTAATTTTAATAATATTTTCTGTTTTATATTTATTTACATCTGAGTCTAATAGCGAAAAAAACAATGTCTGTAGAACTATGAATGACTATATCCATATGGAAAACAATACAAATTGTTGGTATAACCCAGATGTAGGAAGCTCTGTGGTAAATATGTATTGCTATGTTTCACATAAAAAAAGGAATATATTTGTAGTCGGATATAATTACAAGACGAGGTTATCCATTAGAGAGTTACCACTTTCAAACGGAGGATGGTTACATTAACGCCATTTATAGGATTCCACATAATAATATTAACCAAAATGAGCCAAAACAACCAATAGTGTTACACCCTGGTTTAGGTGGTAGTCCGAATAGTTTTCTGTGTGTAGGAAATCGATCACTGGGTATATTATTTTTTAATACTAAAATTTACTTTTCCAACAATGATTTTAAGTATTTTTTCTTGTAAATAATGGTTATGATGTTTGGTTGCCTCATCGCCGAGGCTCAGCTTTTGGCAAAGGTCACATCAAATACAACAGAACAGACTCGAAATTCTGGGACTTCAGTTTCCACGAATGTGGCTATTACGATATCAAAGCTGAAATTGATTTTATTAAGACCAAAAATTCGCAAAAAGTGATACTACTTGGTTATTCTATGGGAACGACCGAGACTTATGTATATGCAATTTTGAGAAAAGAACATGCAAAGAAACATGTAGCTGGGATTATTTCTCTTGGTGCTACAGCTTACTTAGAACACCCTAATAGTATTTTGATGCATTTAGCCCTTGCTTCACCTTACTTGGAAGTTATTTAAGATTAGTTAGGCTTTTTCTAATAAAATTATTATAGGGCTCTTTGAAATTTCGTAATAGAAATAGTATGTTTGACAGTTGGGAAATTCAAAATGTTGAACAGAAAATAACTTACGAAAATTTGGTTGCTACTTGGAATCTTATAATGGGGTTATTTGGTGAAGATCCTCATCAGTTGGATCCAGTAAGACATTCCTATAAATTAATTTAGAAAAAATAATATATTTTAGGTTGATTTACCTGTCTATTTAGCCAGCAAACTAGCCTCTACTTCGATTAAATCTGTTATACATTTTGTTCAAAACATTATTTCTGGTGGAAATTTTCAATATTATGATTATGGGATTTTTAAAAACTTACAAGTGTACAATTCACCAACACCTCCTTTATACAATGTATCAGAAATTGACATACCAGTGTACATTTTTTACGGTGAAGCAGATAATATAAATCCCAAAGAAGTATAATTATTGTAATAACTAATTATAAAGAAGAAACTAATTATTTTTGTTTAAGGATGTTTTTAAGTTTTATAATGACCTAAAAGTTAAAAAGAAAGGTATAATTCATATTTCTGAAGATAAAAAAGTGAAATATAATCACGCAGACTTTGTTTTGGCTAAAGACACTGAAAAGTTATTTTATGCAGTTTTATTGAGAACATTACGAGAAAACTTAAATGGATGATAATCTGGTAAAAGTAAATTTTTACCTTTATTTTGTGGAAATATTTGATTTGTTCTATAAAAATATGTTTTTATGTACATATAACACTATCATTAGAATTTCCATATTTTGTAAATGAAAATTGCAATAAATTTTTAATTAAATTTTAATATAAATATTTTAAAGCTTTTATTTTTACTAAATTTTTAAAAATACAAAAAAAATCTTATCTGTAGTAATAGCATGTATTTTGTCGCTCTATGTTGTTATGATGTGAAAACATTCTACAATTTACTTTTTATTAGTAAAGATTCAGTTGTTTTTGTAGTTTCTTACTTTAACACAGAAAAGTTTCTGTGTTAAAAGAGGAAACAGAGAGTATAAAACTAACTTAGTTTACCATTTTGCACTTTTGAATATAGTTTTAAAATTATGTATACATAGTGTCTCAAAATTAAGAAATTCCGAGTTCTGAGGGGGTATTCCTATGACTGACTAAAAATATATAGAACAATTTTTAAATCACTTTTTCCAACTTTTAATTTTATTCAATACGACAGCATTGCGCACTCTGTATACACGTAAAATTTATTGATGGCGGTTTTCACTCAATCAATCTATATGCCATTCTAATCTCCACAGTAACAAAATAATATTCTAGCCTCGTTGCAGTTTTGTTTTTTTTTTTGTAAAATAGTGATCCACAATGACTGAATATGTTGGCAATCCTGACCCTAATTTTTAAAGCTTACCATTAGAGTACGCTTTTGATTAAGAACAATTCAACAATCTGGTGGGGTTGTACGTCAAATATTTGTCAAGCAAAACCGTATTCGGTTGCAGTGTTTCAAATTATTAACAAAAATATTTTCAAATCTGTTGGCAACACACTCAGTTTTTCAGGATCACTTCTTATTTACCACAACTGATTACAAATTTTCTTACTTTGCGTTAAAACTACTTTTTCAAGATTTTTTTTGATTTGTTATTATGCCCATAATTAATAAATATAAACGTCAACAATCATAGTCTTTATTTGAACATTACTTGATGCAAAGTTTGCATCTTCAGACCTCGATATCTTTGTAAGATGAAGAGGTCGTCGATTTTTTCAATAATTTTTTTCTAATCCCTAGTAAGATCTTCTACAACTTTCTGAACTCCGAATGTCTTAATCTTGAGGCACCTTGTATAAATAGATAAAATCAAAAGTGAAACCATTTTGTTCTTTTTTTCTGTTTTACAAAAATAAATTAAATTGCTATAAAAAATAAACAAGTTTATTACGAAAGCTGATTATTTACTGCTTATTATTTATAAACACTTTTAAAGCTAAATTACAGATTACATAAAACGTGCTAGTTACACATTAATTTATTGTAAATAGCTAAATTATCAAGTTTCTAATTGAGCGAAACTAATATCGTTTTTTCTCAGTGCATGTTAAACTTGTTTGCAAAATACATGAAAATGTTTCAAAATTTTTTGTCGATAATTTTATGTTTGATTATATTGGTACAAAAGTCTAAAAGTAAAAAAAACAATGTGTGTAAGACTATGATTGACTATATGGTTATAAATTACAATAAAAACTGCTGGCACAATCCAGACGTGGGAAGCTCTGCGGTAAAAATTAAGTCTAAAAAGTATCAAAAATAAAAAGAATTGCAGCGAGACATAATAACAAGGCGAGGTTACCCATTAGAAACGTATTACATTCAAACTGAAGATGGCTATATAAATGGTATGTATCGAGTTCCACACAATAACACACACAAAAAAATGGAAGAAAGACAGCCAATATTGTTACATCCTGGTCTCAGTGGTAGTCCGAATACTTTTTTATACATAGGAAACCGATCTATAGGTATCTCAGAATTTAGTTACAAAAAATGCATATTTTTAACAAAGTTTCAAGTATTTTTTCTTGTAAATAATGGCTACGATGTTTGGCTCCCACACCGTAGAGGGTCAGCGTATGGCAAAGGCCATATCAAGTATAAAAGAAGTGATCCTGCATTTTGGGACTACAGTTATCACGAGTGTGGTTATTACGATATAAAGGCCGAAATTGATTTTATTAGGACCAAAAATCCTCGAAAAGTGATTCTTTTCGGTTATTCTATGGGAACGACCGAGACTTATGTTTATGCAATTTTGCGAAAAGAACACGCAAAAAAGCACATAAGTGGTATTGTTTCAGCCGGTGTTACAGCCTACTTAGAACATCCAAATAGGTTTTATGTACAGATATCACTTGCTGCACCTTATATGGGGGTGATTTTTTGTGAAATATCTATTACTAATACAATTATCTAGAATTCTTTAAGATTTCGTAAAATCCATGGACTTTATGATAGTTGGGAAACTAATAAAAGAGAAGAAGAGATGACATTTGCAAAGATAGTAGGAGCAAAGAAGTCTTTAATGGCCTTGTTTGGTTACAATCCTGACCAAGTTGATCCTGTAAAATCTCGTTTTTTTATTAGTACATGTTAATAACTTATTTTAGGCTGATTTACCGGTTTACATAGCAGATCACCCAACATCTACTTCGATTAAATGTTTTATCCATTTTGCTCAAAATATAAATTCTAAGAAATTTCAGTTGTATGACTATGGGTTGCTCAAAAACGTGTTCCTATACAATTCAACATTGCCGCCGTTGTATAATGTGTCAGACATTGATGTTCCGATGTATCTTTTCTATGGAGAGTCTGATACACTGAATCCCAAAGAAGTATAGTTATTTTCATTACGGAAAAATAAAATTGTAATTTTTTGTTTTAGGATATTTTTAAATTTTATAATGATTTGAAAGTAAGAAAGAAAGGTTTAATACATATTTCGGAAGACAAGAGAGTGAAATTTAACCACGCAGACTTTGTTTTGGGCAAAGACGCCGATAAAGTGTTTTATGGTGTGCTGCTTAAGATACTTAGAGAGAACTTGAAAGGGTGAAATTTTTTTGAAGGTCTAACTTCTCGATTCTTTGTTTAATAAAAAATTAAATAAGTTTGGCGGTAAAAAAAGTAAAGAACAGGCATTATTAATTTATTTTCTGTATAGAATTTAGCCGTCAGAGTGTAATCATCAATCTTCCGAGTCGTTTGTCTTTTGTCGTTGACCGGTGGCGCAGGTCTCTGTGGTCTTTCCGCCTATCCAACGTTCTGACAACTCGGGTTTTCTTCCTGCAAAAACACAAGAAAATGCTTAATTTATCACAAATTAATTACACGTGAATAATAAATTGTTTTATCAGCGTACACCGATAAAAAATTTAATGTAATCATAACGAGGGCAAAAATCAATTTAAAGTTTAAAGGTCCTGACAAATATTAGACGTCCTGATAAATATTAATTGGCTTTTGAATACAAAGTGGCCTAAGTTGTTAATTTGCGGACTCGGGATTGGCAAAATTACTCGTTCTTATATTTTATGAGCTTTTACATCAAACTCTAGGATTGATTCAGGCCAATCAGTCGTAATTTGATTTGGTTTCGGTGTTGGGCAAGTGCTGATACCGACTCCTGAACTTTTTAAACTTTTGTCTCAACTCGGAACATTTTCATAAAACGAATTTGAGAAAATATCGATTCTCGACGCTGTTTGTCTCTGATTTGAAGGGTCGTAAACCCGCAAACATTTGTGTCACGTCATACGGATCGGAAACGTTAAGCATTCAGTGATCAATTTTCCAGATTTTGTCAACTGGTTGAACTCAATTTAAAATGGTAAACTTGTCTCTCCCAAATGTACCGAGCTGGTACGGCTATAAAATTTCTTATTGCATTAATGCAAATTCTGTTTATTTTATGCAAATTACTGTTTTATATTAATGCGTATTTTTGAAAGGAGTGATAGAAATTTATTTCAGTCCCGAATCGGTTTGAATCACTTCCATAAAGATCTAAATTGTTTGACGTAAATTTTTATCAAGGGAACGTAATTCGTCTCTCGAATTTATTGAAAGTTCTCGTCGCTTGAGATTCTCTGTGTGTGTCACCAGGGTGCCAAATGAAAGTGAGTAATATTGGGGTGCATTGAGGACACTTCCGTTACGCTTTTAGCATTATCCACTCAATTTGCAGATTTATAGCTCTAACGCAATATTGATTTTGCTTTCATATTAAATTTACACTTGACCAAGTGTATTCTGTTTTATTCAAAATAATATTAATTTTTGTATCTAGTACTTGCAAAATAACATAACTATCAAAGAACAATTCTCTTTTAAAAAATAATGCCATGAACAATGTTTAAGTAAAAACAAAACAAAAAAATATCTTTTTACTTAATATTCTGCTTTTTTTTTGTTGAATCTAGAAAGTTTGAAAATATAATTTTTTCATCTTGTGTCTACTCGATCATAATAATATATTATTCAACAAATGAGAGAGTTGGCCATTCCCACGAAGATGAAATTTGAGTAGAATCTGAGTGAAGATACCCATTTCCACACGAGTTTTATACTATACTTTTTCTAATTTTAAATAATGACTGTATTATTTTTTATATTTCTTTTTTTTTATTATTATTATTTAACTTTCTCTACACTTTTCAATTTTTTCCACAGTTGAAAATTGAATAACTTAGTTTACTGAAAACGGTTGAGAAAAGTACAAATTTTTTAACATGATTAGAAAAAGTGTATTTTTATATTTTAAATTTTTAGTGTTTAAATTTTTTTTAATACATCAGTGAATGTTCTACGAGTATATCTATACCTACTGTTTTATTACGAAAACTTTAATCATTTTTAGACCCTACAATATTGATTAATTTTAATTATAGTGTCTATCAGATATGTTA